GTTTCCAAGATTACATAGCATGACTAGCCTTTGCCTCATATTCATGACTAACATTTTTATTGGCACTAGGTCAGTTTGACTAACAATATTTGAATTTTAAAACCTAGACTTCTTTTAAGACTTTGATTAAAAATGATTTCAAATTACAGGCACTAAGTACAGGAACAAAGTGGAGTAACTTGCACACTCCAGCTTTGGGATGGATATAAATTCTGAAGTGATACAGTAAGATTTACAGCCTTTTATTAGCCTATGCTCTAATACGCTAAATTAACCTAGCAAAACAACTTGTCTCATAGACACATTCACTGCAATACCTTTGAACTTCCAGCCATTTGAACTAAACCACTGTAAACAGTGTTTTCAAAAGAACAGGATTTTAGTTTCTGCACAGACAGCCTTTTATTTCCTCCTAGTCAGGTGTTAAGGCTGGGCACATAATTCATGTTGGAACATTATCAATTTCCATGCATGTACGTATACCAGGACAGATGCAGTGGGCATTGTGTTTTGCATTTATATACATATTACTGTGTAATTATAGTTAAATAATGCTATATTTTGTATCTAGTGTAACTCTATAAATACATTATTTGATAGGAAGATTGGACCTATATAGCCATTCCCCTCCCCTCTATCACCAATTTTCAAGCTCCAAGGGTCCAACACTATACTCCTAACTCAAGGTCTTTACTCAGTTCAAAAAACCTAAGCCATCTAAAAAAAAATAATACAGCTGTGGGAAGTTAAGTGGATGGACTTAACAGGCTTCTTCCCACTCATCCAGCGCTGCAGTGGGCAGATGAAAGGGAACTAGCCAAAGCTCACCTGCAACTCGTTTATCCTTAGCGAGGGGAGGAGCAATGGTTTCTTGCTGCTCTTGGACGGAAAGGGAGGGGCTAAGAGTGTAGGACACTGTCCTGCTTAGGATTTCAGTCCTGTAAACAACTGACTGGCTCTCTGGGCCACAGGAATTCCCCACTGGATCCCAGACAACTAATCCCATTTTGCTTCCTTTCAAGCCGGCAATGTGTCAGTGGCACAAAAAACAAAGCAAAACAAAAAACCAAGCAAGCACAAGGCCAAAAGGGTGGGGGCACAGGGGACAGCTGAAGAGTAGGGCAGATGCACAGGCCAGACACAGGCCTACGCATCAGACAAACTCCCAGAACTGCTTCCACAAATTAGGCAATTCTGTTGATATAGTAACACCACCTTCTTTTCCTTACTTTGCTCAAAATCTGCTTTTCATCCTCTTCTACCAGAAGCACGTTGAAAGCAGATGTCTTGTCTTCCTCCTGCCCTCCTACCCGTTTCCTCCACCATACCTTACACACAGCTGCCCATGTCTTGACTTTATAAGTCATTTTATGCTGACATGACTCACTCACAAAAGACAACCATTTTTATAAAGCATCTTATTTCGCAGTGATGTCATTGGTAATAAAATTATTCTGGCCACTAGCTGTGGCTATTAGTCAACACTGAGAGTCACAGCTGTCCCAACTTCATTCCTCTTTCATTACAGCAGAGAATAACAAAGCAGCTCAAACACGGGCTTCAACACGGTAATGTAGTAACAACTGAAACTTTGTACCTTTCTGTGTAGAACTGAAGCTGGTGAAGGTGGTAAGCATCAGCCTCGTGCTCCAACCACACCAGCCACGTACATTAGTCTCGGGGATACATTTCTCCACTCACTGCCCTTGGCAGAACAGCTTAGGATATTCTCGTAATCCTCGATGTCAGGAATAATATTCTAATATTTATCTACTTATAATATCTAATAATATTCTAATATTTATTATCTGCATAATTTATTCGTAATTGTTTACAATGTATTTGGGGGCTCAGTTGAAGGGTAAAAAGTGTTGGATGATTAGGATATGGGAACACATTTATATTTTTACATTAGTTGTTCCAGAAATAACTTATGTTTCTAAATTGTTTTGCTCTAAGTTTTCCTAACAAAGCATTGATATTTAAATCAGATTCCCAGTATAAAAGTGTTAAGTCTCCCGATTTAAAAGTAGCAAGTAACATTAGATGTACCCCTATGTATTAATGTTATTCATCTATAATTTCTCAAAACCCTTAAAGCATTCAAATTTAATATTCATTGCCTATAAGCCTTCACCTACCGATCAATTCACACCTTTCAAATCTAATCTGCAACAGCCACAGAACAATCTTCATTTAGCCAAAGTGGAAAGAGTCAAACAGACCACTGTTGAGATATCAAGTTCACGGCAACCTAGGGAAATTACCTAACATCTGCCTGGAAGGCCACACAGCATAGTGATTAAAAACCCTGTGTCTGAAGTTAGTATACACATGTGTGACTTCAAGAGGTATTTTAAGTAGGAAACTTAATAGTAATTAAAAGAAATCTACAGAAAGATATCTACTGTACTCTTAACAGTAACAACTAGAAGCAACCTGAATGTTGTACAGAGATTATTTCACAAATTCATGTATCTGAACCTGATGGAATAAAGTCATGAAACCATTAAAATTATAATATTTGTGAAAATCCAGAAGTATTTGTTATAATCCTCTTTCCAAAGAAAAAATACCAAATTATATGTATCATTCTA